TTTTTAAATATTTACCTCCCCAAGGCCCGAGGGGGCCACTACAGTCGGAGAGGCTACTCATTTTTTTTTTTTTTTAATTTTTTTGTTGTAATCGTGGTACAACCCTCTCTCAACTCTTTAACTCCGAAACACTAACCTTGACAAGCAAGACCGCTGCGCGGAGAAATTAAGTTGAGCACGGTACTTCCAGGGACGTGGTGGGAGTCAAACTACAAACTTCTCGTTTACAAAGCGAACGCTCTTACCACTACACCACTACCGCATATACCTCATATTAGTACTTGTACTAAATTTGATCAATATAGCACTAATAATAAATTAGTTATAAGTTTTGTCTCAAAATTTGCCATTCTGGCCCACTGTGCATTGTACACACCTGTATGCTTTTAACAACACTCTCCCCCCCCCCCCCTTGTACATTTATGCAAAATTTATTACCAAATCAACCCCCTCCTTCCCCAATATGTAAACTTTTGAAATAGTAAAAACAAAATAAATTAAATTTAATGTGACCTTTGTTACTAATAATTTGTTAATAATAATATAATATTGATTTTTTAAACTCATGAAGTTCAATGCTTTTGTAAAAAGAAAAAAAAAGAAATCAAGATTTTTGGTGACTCCCTACCCTCATAATATGTATATACATTATGAAAGGATCCAATTTAGAGAGAAAAAACATCATAAGAATATCATAAAAGAAGTAGAGGGTGACATCGTCTTTTAAAAATATTTTGTAAAAGACAGCGCGCATCTTTGGTACGGAATATAAATAGTAAACATGCTAGTATTTCTAAACCGTAATTTAGACTTGTGTAAGCTGGACACTTAAAGTAAAATAAAAGTTATATATAAGTGAAAAAGAACGACTCTAAATTTTATATATACTCGAATATATTATACATAGCTGAATTAATAATATTAAATTATTAACTTTTAATTATTGAATTATATTGATATAAATTATTAATAAGTTTTTAATTTTAATTTTTTGAATTATTTATAAAAAATAAATTTATTTAAACATTTCGAAAACAAAGATAAAAACCAGGCAGTATTCAAAATAAAAAAATTAAAAAAAAATTTGCTTAAACTTCTATTCGCTTACAAACTTCTCGCCCACTAGCAATTAAAGTAACGTATCATAAAAAAAAAAACTATTCAAAACCCTTTTTCAAAATTGAAATAGTTTATCAAAATTTTATTATATGCATTTTCCAAATAAATCCTGATTTTTTGTCATATCTTGTTTTATCTCTAATATTTTTTTTAACCGGTCAACCATGACCAACAAGAATTCATTTTGGGAGGTCAAAATAGCAAGTCATTTCAGGCGGTCATTGACCGTTGACCGGCCATTATTTTCCATGCTGACTTTTATATATTTATAACTTTTATAAACACCAGACACTTTTTTAGGTACCTAGGCAGACATTTAAACAATTTTAACATCCTTTATTCATATCCTGTATTAATATACTTCATTCTTAAAAATTTGTTGGTGCATTTAAACTTAATTGCATTTTTATAATTTTGATTTTTGATTAATTGTGTTTAATATTTAATTATGTTTTTTGCATAATAAACAATCCTTTACAAAAAAAAGTGGAACCTGCATCAGGTTTTATTATTGTACTAGTCTAAATTTATCAAAAAAACAAGTGCGTTAACATATACAAGTAAATTAAAATAATTTTTTATATTTTTGATTTATTTTGATTTATATTACTTTACTTAATTTTAGTATTTTGTTTAAACATTTTCTAATAATATTCAAACACATGATTTGTGCAATCCCATTTCATAAACTGGACAATTTCACAAAACTTGTACAAATTTTTTTTTTTTTTGTCTTGTTTAATCTTAGTAATCACAAACACGGTGTTGTTATAATTTTACAAAAATATATATAACTGTATTGTTGTTGTTGTAACTTTACAAAAATTTTAACTTTCGCAAATACATAAACAAATATACATGATCATGTCTATTATAAATGCACATTTTTATAGTCACAATCAGTACTTGCAATAAGTAAAGCATCTCAGTTATAAATTTAAGTCATCTCAGTTATAAATGTAAGTGCCACTGTTATCATTTGGCGACTTGAAACTATTAATAGTTTTAAGGTTGCAACTATTACTGAATTTAAAAGACATTATTCTGCATTTCTGCAACTTTTTTCTGCTGTCAATAAAACCTCTTTAATTTTTATGGAGACTCAAACACATATACAATATACTGAAACACATACCAAATTATAACTCTCATAAACACCACAATAAAAAATTATACAAAATTTACAGTGAAATATATTTTAAATGAAACAAATCATAAAAATTAAACAATAAAGTTTTATTTTTTAAAATACTTTATGTAAAAATTACATACTGAAGAAAACATTATAGTACCTTAATTTTGCTCAATTATATGATGACAGTGGGATCTAATAGATAATAACACTTAGCTAACCATTTTAGTTAAATTGCTTTTAGATGAA